AGCTTTTCCCTTCCTATATCCATTTTATTGAAAGTGGAAGCAAAAATGATGTCTGTCGAGCTGTCATTGTCAATCAAAACACGATAGACAGTCCTGTTGGCCACCACAGCTCTTACCACCAAAGGGTCATCATGGGGATGTTGGTAGCCCTCTAGATCTGAATCTGAGAAAGTGATAGCCGTGTCTAAGCGTGGAGACTTAGACACAATATATACTTCGGGAACTTCTGTGGCTCTGATTTTTTGCAAGTGGGCCTTTCTGGCAGAGCTGGACCGTCCTCCTCTGGCAAATCCTCCAGATATCACTCTAATCTCCCCCATAGGTTGCTGGTGTGGCTCTGGTGCTTGACGCTGAGGGGATGGAGGTGGGAGAGCTCGATTTTGATTATCATTGACCATATAGCGCCACAGCTACCCTCGCTGGATTAGAAATTTTATTTCCTTCTTTAATTGGATACAGTCGTCGGTGTGATGACCATGGTCTCTGTGAAAGTCATAATACTTTGTAGGATCCCTTTTTGTCGGGTCTACTTTCATCCAGGGTAGCCACCTTAATAACTTCTCATGTTGCACCTCATGCAGTATCTGAGACACCGTAGCTATCAGAGGAGTGAGCTGTCGGGGTGCATACCTCGGTTGTAGCTCTGGTTGTGGAGGATCGAGGCGATCCCTAACATTTTCTCTTCTCTTTTGGGAACGCTCTCTATTTCTTCTTGGAGACCTACCTCGTTATCTTTTCTTTCTGGAACTTTGTTCTCTTTTCTTTTCTTCCTTTCCTTTCTCCTTTCTCGACGAAGAGCTCCCGACCTTGGAGAGGAGTGCTTCCTCACCATTTATGTACTTTTCTGCTTTGGCAAGCACCTTCGCCATACTAGTCTGGGGGTTCTTTGAGATGGAAAACATCAGATCTTTTGACTGAACTCCCAGATCTGCTATGAAGGCTGTAATAGCAAATTTTTCGTCTGGGACATCCACCTTCAAGGATTTTGAGTTGAACCGTTGGACATAAGACCGTAGGTTCTCATCAGGTCCCTGTTTCACATTTAACAAATGGTAGATCGGTTTTCTATAGGTCCGAGTTCCATTGAAGTGGGACACAAACGAGATTGACAGCTCTTTAAAAGAAGAGATTGAGGCTGGGGGGGGGAGTCTGTTGAACCATGCTAAGACTGAGCCCTTCAGAGTGATAGCAAAGACCATGCATCTTACTGGATCTTGGTATCCATGCAACTTCATTTGATTTTTGTAGGTGTTGAGGTGGTCCACGGGATCCTTTGTCCCATCGAAAGCATCCACTTGTGATATTCTGAATTTATGTGGGAGAAGGAAGTGCAGCACACCAACAGTGAATGGAGATTCGATTTGCTGCACCAAGGCATCCATAGTGACTGGGACCTTACTCTTCACTGCCTCCTTCATCTGGCTGAGCTCTTGTTGGATGTCTTTGCAACGTTGTTCCCAGTGATGTTCCCTTATCTCCTGTTGATAAAGAAAGAAGTCGTTCATCTCCCCTTCCTTACATTGACTTTGCACTTTCTCGTTGTGACCATTCCTAGAGGGTAGGCGAGGTTCTTGCCCCAAGGTCTGACTATTCTCTCTCACCTCATTAACTTCTCTGAGGGGGTCGAAATGCGGTTGCTCCCTTGGTGGTGGATTATTCTGGCCTCCTTGGGCCGATCGCGCCTCTTGTGGGCGTTGTAGGAGCTTTAAGAGCTCTTCATTCTGTTTTATCAGACGTTTATTGACAAGACGAATGGCCTCCATCTCATTATTCATAAGAGGGCTCCCCATGGGAGGATCTGCTTGCGTATTTTCAGGTTGTCTGCTATTTGCGGCTTCCTGTTGATCTTGCATTCATAGAGGATTGGTCTGACTTCGGCTCATGTTTCGTGTTGATACCATCAGTCACTAAAAAATCAACTTTATTTGTAACGGGAACAGTCATTCCCACAGACAGCGCCAAACTGATGGTGTAAACCGAATTGTATGAGTAAAGAATTGTAATTATGTTTTGCAATGATGATGTTGTGATAATGAAAGAAATGTTTTTCTAGGGGCTGAGAGGATTAACATAGAAGAAGTATAGTAGTTCACCAGCTCGGGAGCTCGACTAATCCACTCTTTAATGGAGACTCTTGCTCCTTGTCTTTCAATAATGATGATTGCAATAGTACAATGACTAATTTTTGCCTCTAGGGTCCTCTCCCCTCCTTGGGGGCGTTACATAGTAATTATAGGACTGTTCCTTATTCATTGGGATCTTGGCCGAGATTTTTGCTCTTATTTCGTGGGGTTCTCCTTAATTCTAGGAGAAGATCTTGGTTGGTTGAAATTAGGTGCCTTGATTATAGTTTCCTAACGCTTTAGGAACCTCTCGTGGTTATCCAGTCGTTGCCTTGCCTTAAGAGACATTCATCCCTTGCCTTTTGACCTCAGTTAATATAGCTAACCTCCCAGTCTAAGTTGAACTCCTAAACTAACACTTGAGATTTACTTTAGACATCATCAAAACTAATCTAGTTACTGAAGTGAATCTAATGTCATCACTCCATGCAAACAAGTTAATATGCTAATCATTTGATTGCTTAGATATATATTCTGAAACTATCTAAAACACAAAAAATAAAAAGAGAAAGACAAATATTTTTTTGGTGAGAGTATTAGGAGAGTGATTGAAGGCGTGAATAAGGGTAAGCAACTATGAAAACTTTTAGGCAGAAAAAAAAAATTTGCAAGATTTATTGTGATTTTTCGAATCAATAAATTTAAAATGATTTATATCGTCTTTTATGTTAGGATTATATTGCCCGTCAGATTTGTCTTTGTTGTGTGTTGAACCAACCTAAACCTCTCTTTATTTTTAGAATTCAAAACTCCACCTATTTTATTGTATAGATTTCTCACCAATACACAACCATGTTAAAAAAAAACCTATATATATACACAACATCCAAGAGTGATATAATCTCTCACCAATGTACACATAAAACGATCATGAGTGATATATCAACTAATCAATTAAATCAAGTCTTTATGTGGGTCCGTTATATGAGTCTGTCTCTGTCATTCATTTTAGTCATACGCTATACGCTTATTTAAATTAAATTTTTTTATATATTTTCTTATTATTTTGTTCAATATTAATTTAGATGTATCTCCACTCTTAATATCATTACTATAAATTCTATTACTTTTTCTAACCAAATATATAAGCAACAAGAAATATATATTGTCGTCTCCAACCATTCACTTGACTGAATCGCTCGATTCCTGACCAAAGCCTTGTACGAAATCTTTTGGGGTTGGATGTGGACCCAAATATATAATGGGCCTTTTATGGTTTCCTAATTCAGAAAGCGACCACCACCAAGGTCAAATTCTAGTTTAAATTGATTAGGTCCACAACTGGAAACTTGATGACCCCAATGTCCTCTTCGGCTGAAGGGGGAAGAGAATCTTGAATGGTATCTCTTACATCCTAAGGAAGGAATATCCGCCCACATAGTCAATACACCTCCCCTCCCAAGCTTTACCAGTTAAGAGGAACGACCCTCTTGGAAATATCTACGAAATCTCCCGGAAAGAATCTCTCTCTCTCTCTCTCTCTCTCTCTC